CAGGTTCACAGGGGCCAGGTACAGGGGGGCCAGGTACAGGGGGGCCAGGTTCACAGGGGCCAGGTTCACAGGGGCCAGGTTCACAGGGGCCAGGTTCACAGGGGCCGCCCCCACCCCCCCCTCCTCCTCCTCCTCCTGGCTGTCGGAGCTGGACCGGATGTCGTCTTCCTGTTCCTGCGCCTCCTCGTCAGGGAGCGTTTGAAGCGGCTCTGCCTGCTCCGTCTTTATACAGATGTTTCGAGAGCCCCTCCTGCCCAGAGAGGTTTTCCTCTGAACCGTCAAAGTCTTGTGAGACCCTCCCCCTGAGTTTGGAGCGCCATGATTTTCTAACTTCCCCTCAGAGTCTGTGCAGGGACTCTGTGCAGGAGTGTGGAGGTTTTGCTCAGCGTCTACCTCCTCCTCTGGCACCGGGGTCTCCCTGGATGCCTCTTGGTTTGTCGTGTGTTGGTCTTCACGCAGCTCCTCTGTGGTTCCTTCAGTCTGGTTAACGAGCAGGAAGTCGTCAGCACAACTGACCTTCATCTTCTTCGGTCCACTGCTCCTCTCCCTCTGTACCGACGCCTTCCTGCTCTTACCTGTGGCGCTTTCTGAACAGGAGGGTGGAGATGTGACTTCTGAAGGATCTTCCAGCACGTCTGTCAGGTCGACAGTCGCTTGAGTATCGATGGAAAACTCAGGGTTCAAGTGGGCCTCTTGATTTGGAGCTGTTGGGAGAAATGAGGAGAAAGGGAAATTAATGTTACTAACCATTTCTAACTTTCAGGAATCAAACTTCATGTGGTAACTCCAACTAGAGCTGTCCATATATCAGATTTTCACAACAGGATTATTGTTGCCAAAATGATTCATAATGACGACCTCAGAGTTCCTAAAGCTTAAGGCATTCAGGAGTTTTATTTTGATGCCCCAGCACTGAAATCAGATTTTACATTCACTTTTATGGAGCAGTGTGATGTTAATGTGAGAGGGATTTGGTAAGTAATAAAAACAGATATTTATTTTTAAGTTTTTACAATGCCACATAGGAAAATAAAAATAAACCTGTGTTATACTTTCAGACTTTGGAAAGGTTTATTTAATTATTTAAATACCAATAACCTTTTAAAGAATCCATGTGAACCGTGGAAAGTGTAGCTTTCAGTCAGATTGTTCTATATCTTTGGTTATTGTAGGTTTCACCCCATTTCTGACAAATTAATTACACTAATGTGTGTGGGGTGTTAATGAGACATGGTGAACACAAACACATTCATTATTTAAGAAGTAATGAATATTTACACAATGTCATCTAATCTGTGTGATTCGTTTTTTTTTTCAAATGACGTTATCAGCAGTACATGGCGACTGTTTTTAAGGGTTGTATGTTATGGACAAATGTATATTGGGGGGGGGGGGAGAACATGTCTTTTTGACCCAACAGAATAAAACTTGGATGAACAAAATACACAGTTCATAAGACAGAGTTATTGCATGCATGTTGTACCTGTGCAGCTGTGGGGGGGGGTCTGTTGAGTCAGTCTGGGGGGGGTTGGCCTCTCAGCGATGGGACTTAGATCGGGGTTTTTGCAGATGTGGACACGGAGGCCGTATCTGGAGCGGTCCACATCCTTGCTCCACCGCCGAGCCGCTACCTGAGGAGACAAGATGCACTGTGAG